CGACCTTTAAAGGTACTAGTTCCTAATTACTTTCTATATTAAGTCTCTCTAACGTAGAACGACCTTTAGCTTATATTCGCCGACCTCTATAACGCTATTATTATTAGTAAGGAAATATCTAAGTAAATATAGGCCGAAATTAAAGAAGTAGCCTTTAAAGTACGTGGTAAAGGGTATAGTTTTAAATAATTAATCTCTTATTCTTATAAGGTACTTGATTTTCCTAAATATCGCTCTAAGATTACCCTAAGATACCGCTTCCGTTAGATTAATAATAGAAAATCGGTCTTAATAGTATATATCTTATAGTTAAATCGAATTAATATTCTTCTCTCTTCCACGGAGCCTATAGTATAGATTTCTAAAGTTAACTAAGTTAGCGACATCGTTGGTTTCTTTCCCTAGCTTCCCGAACTTATTATTAAGAAATATAAAAGAACTAAGCTCTTAAACATTATTAAAGAATAGAATTTTAAGCTCTATAGCTTCTAGGTAATCTATTTTACTATTAACGAACTTCTCGGTAGTAGTTTTACTACGCCTACTTTTATTAGGCTAGATAATACTTATAAGTAAGTTAAATAATACTTTAGGAACCTTAAGTCCCCTACTATAATACGAATCTTATATACTCTTAAAGAGGTAAAGGATTTCACGCGTTTTAACGTAGAGCTAGAGCTTAAAAAGGATCCGATTAGCGCATGGTATATAGATATTACTATATCTTATATATAATACGGAATAATAAGTAAACCGGACATATAGCCGTAAGTCGTAGTTCCTCTTCGTGAATCCTTTAATTAGAAATTTAATTACTTAATATATATTAGTATTAGCTCGCTCTAAGATAAGTAAGCTAAGCTACCTTCTACGGAATTCTTACTAGTTATAGTTAGATACGTCTAGCTCTTAGGCGTTACCTAATCTCTTCTAGCTATTATTAAGCTAGATAATCTAGACGAGTTCTATTAAATAGAACTAGGGATAAATACTTTTCTAAAAGTTAATGTATTAGCGTATAATAATAACGTCTACCGAGCCGAGATTCTCTAACTTTGATCTAGAGTACTTCCTTTTAAATGCTTCGCGTTAAAACTTACTAACCTTATTAAACGTCCTCTAAAGGAACCGGAGCTCCTAGTACCTTTACTACGTACTATCGCGGTAGTATATAAAAAGTACTTAGGTTACTTTATCTACACGAGTAATATTAGCTTAGAATCTATTAATTCATCTATTACTACGCTAGGTAACTTTAATGAAGTTCCTACTCTCGTCTTAATATAAACATATAATAAGCTTATTAAGTAATAGATAAATACTTATTAAAAACTAACGTAATCTACGTTATAAGCGCCTACTATTAAAGTAATAAACTAATAAATAAAAGAAGATAAACTACCTTAAAAGAAAGTTAGTAAGTATAACGAAGTAGATAACGTGTCTAAGGTAAGCATGGATTTAGTTTAAGATAACGATAGCGAGGACGACGAAGACTATCCCTTATCCGCTACTAATAGTAACGAGAAAAACGAGTTTTAGTTACCTTCGGCTAGTATAATCCCTACTATAGTACTATTACCTTTACTATTAACTATTTAGAATATTATTCTAGGTAATAACTTCCTTACTCTCGAATACCTTAATTATATATAATACGTTAAAGATTAAAGGCCTTTTCACAATATTTAAAACTTTATTAAGAAATAGCTATCTAATTAATAATAGGAAGTATACGAAAACTTACGAAAGGTACTAGAAGGTTATTTTATACTTTAAGGCCTAGGAGATACTAGTAAGAGTTATTAGTAGCTTTATATTATATTATCTATAATATTAATTAATAAGAATAGTAGTAATTTCATAATAACCTACGTAGCTAAGACTATTATTCTAATTACTAAATAAACTATATACCTTCTAGCACGATTAGTAATATAGACGCGTCGACATTATTTATACCTTATAGTCTATCTAACTAATCTAACTTACGATAATACTACCGCTAAAGTATATATATTTATTAAAGTCTAGATCTAACGGGTAAAATCTCCTAAGTTACTAATAGTAATTCGTCGTTATCTAGAAGATATAGACTATAGAATCTTCCTTACTAGGGCTAAGAAGTAAAGATATAGTAAACCCTTAATTAGTATAGAATAGGATAAAGCTATTAGTAGTATAATACTATTATAGGCTTAGAGAGAATATAATAAACGGCTATCTAAGTTTATATCTAACCTATATACATGCTTATAGAAACTATATACTAGTTATATAGCTCTTAAAGTTATTAGGCTAGTTACTTCCTATTACTAATATAAATAGCTTCTATCTAGTTTTAAAAAAGATACTACTAAGCCTCTCTAAAATCTTTACTATTACTATAGTAGAAAGGAAGATTTTATATTAGAAGACCATAAGCGTATAATAGAACTATATAATATAGTTTAGGACCTTATTACCACTTAAGCTTAGATATATATAGATACGCCCTATATTATAAATATTACTAAAATTACTTATAATATCTACCCGATTCTAGTAGTTATAGAAGAGGTAACTCATACGCTAGAGAGCGATATACTTAGAGTTATCGTGAATTATATAATAATAGACTAGTAGCCGATATTTATTTATATTAGAGATTCTCGCTAGCTAGATACCTACTATACTAATAACCTTAATATATAGACTATAAACTAAGGAATCTCGTTAATAAAACGACTTCTATAATACGGTTTCCCTTCTACTCGCCTTACGGAGTTAGAACGGTCTATTCTAAGTATTATTAATGTTATTTTAAATATCGCATATTTAGGCGAACTAATAGCTTCTCCTTATATAGCGGCGAACGTTAATTTCTACCTTACTAAGGCGGTTTAAAAGATATTTTATCTTTCTAGATATTAATATATAATTATCGTAGTAGTTAACGGAGATCGAGCCTTTACTATTAATAGTTCTAAATATAATTTAGACTCTCTATATTTCACTTAGTAGGTAATTATAGAGCTCTTTCTCTAAGACGTAAGCCTCGATTATATTTTATATATTTATATCTACGCCGCCTAATAAGAGTTATTTAAGACTATAGTTCGTACCTTACTTCCGGAAGTCCTAGCTAACACGGATTAAGCTTATTTTAATAGATTATCTAAAAAGGTATAGTAACTTATCTAATAGCGATCCTAGGATAGATTCTAAGGCTATAATAGTAATATTATTCTTATCGATCCCGTTTAGACTAGCCGTATTAGATTCCTTATAGAGCTAAATTAGAATATTATCTCTATTACGCGCGTAAGGTAAGTTATAATAGTTATTATAAATATTCTATCCCTTAAGCGATAAAAATGCCTCTAAGGTATTCTCCGTAAGCTTTAGAAGAAATATTATAAGTAAAAAGTAGTATATATATATAATACTACTATACTAGGAACTCTTTCTACTCTCTAATATATACTAAATCTAACACGTAGCCATTCTACTTTCGGTATTAGAGAAACACGCGAAGGAAGATAGAAACGTAAGTAGAGAAGGTCTATAACCTATCGTATCTATAACGCTATCGGTTATAAAGTAATCGACTACCTAGAAGGAACACCTCTTATCTATAATAACTATTAAGATATTAGTTATAAATCTAAAGATTATTCTAATCCTAAGACTTTATAGTTACTCTACTACTATAGTTATAAATAGAATAGTTACTTCTAGTACTACTATTCTAATTATACTAAACTTATAGCTCGTTCTACTAAGGAAGACACTCTATCCGCTACTAAAGTAGAAGAAGTTCTTAACGCCGGCGCTTTTACTACTAAAGTAGAAGCTACGCTAGAATAGAACTTATAGGACGATATAAATGAATACAGAGATTCTTTCGTTAAGGATAAGAAATTAATATAGACTACTTATAAGACTTATAACACGGTTAACTAGTAGGTAATTTACATTTCGGGACGAAATTTAGCGTGGAAGGGCAGATGCTATAGGTAGTTATATAAGGTTATATAAGTAGCTAAGTCACGTGGTCTAGTCACATAACGCTAGAAGCTTAGTATATATTACTTCTTCTTTCTATATTATTTATAGTTAGAGATGGGAGGAGGAAGACGAATAACTGTATTAGCACCTAATTAAAGACTCATTAAGAGTATCTCCATCTCCTTTGCTCTATTATAGACCCTTCGGTAGATAATATAGCACCCTCTGAGTACTGCACTCGGCAACCAGTCTGTCTCTCTAGGATCGACTTCCAAGGACTTCTATTAATTGCCAGAATGACCTGTAGACCTAATTAGCTTTCAAAGCCTTGCAGATCTCGCGATTGAGAACTCGAAAGAGTTAAGACAATATTTGACAACCGTAACGCGATGTTACGAGGGTAATACAGTAGACATACATGCTACGCAGAAATCAAAAGTACGAACAATAGTTTAGAGCTCAGCATATCGATGAGACAGCATTATTGAAGGACGTTGTGAAGCGAGGAGGAAGTCAGGAGAACAGCTGAAGTTAGGCCTTTCATCCATCTATCGCGGCATGCCTAAGGCGCCCAGTACATTAACCTCCCTCCTTTAAGTCATGGGCTGTCTCAGGATGCTTTCACTTTGGTCTTTTGAAGCAGGTCTCGACAATCAAATGAAGTTTAGCCTGCTGATGTTCTCAGATGAGCGAATATTCTACAAATGAGAGATGCGGATCACTGACTGAAGCCCCTCAAGCAACTGTGCACCCATGAACCTGCTACCTCTGTTCAGCAACGAATTATCTGACGCCTAAACCAACGCTGTAGTATAGGAGGACTAGACGTTACTCTGAGACGGACGTTTTCGGGATTGCTAAGCGAGAGTTCTGTTCAAGGGCAGATACTGGTGTTAGGGACTAGACTTGCACTGCCTTGCGGTTTGCCTGATCAGGCACACCGCAGCGAATCGAGGTCACTATATCTAAGGCCACCCGAGAAGCCGCTTCTAATGGACCTGTTTGGTAGATGACTGCTGGTCTTGGTGGAGTGGCGCAGACAAAAGCCGGTATATACCAAGGTATGATCGTGTTGACAAGAATTGTGCTTTACCGCCCAGTCTTGACTCTTCACTGCATTTAAGATCCCATTCAGGGGCACGAGTTATCTTCGCCTCATGCTCATACTCCACCATGCCTTTCAAACAGTGCTTGAAATATCTCTTCACGCACAGTGAGAAGTATCTGAATGATGAGCCACCCCGATACTCAGCTATGGAGTACCAGCAGCTTTGCGACGAACATGAACATATGGCTCCTGTGTTACCCCAGCGCTTCAAGGTTTGTACCACCTTGTCCAATGTGAACGAAAATTAATGATCGAAGACTCCATCACTCCATCCTGCCCGCACTCAATCTCCGGAGCTACCCTTTCGAACTTTGTTGAACGACACAAACCCTGCAGCTCCTACCGCCGTCTCATCCTGTCCTATGCCAACACGCGATACCAAGATCCAACATTCTGCAGCTCCCCTCAGTACGGGAGGTTCAACAGCGAGTTGGGACGACTCGGCGACTCTGGCATTGCAGAAGGAAGCTGAGGTCTTCGAGCCCCCTCACCCCTTGCAGAGTCTCATGAAGATATACCAAAGCCGTTGAGTTGGAAGAAGCTGGCGAGAAAGAGTACAGATGTCGAGGATATATCTACGAAAGAGGACGACACATGATGTGGATACAATTCAATGCCAGTAGAAGCACATAATTACATGGCAACTATGCGTAGAGTCGACACTTGTGCGAAATTTAATCGTATCATAGTTTTGTATGTATAAGTATCCAAGTTTCAGTCGGAGGGAAATAAGTAGCGCTTCCTTCGGATCCCAGATCATGCAAGGACACGTCTTCAGATTCACCCAAAACTCTGTTGGCAATTTGATAACTACGCTGCTTGGAGGCTGTTAAAAGCTAAATAGGCGTCTTGATATAGGTATTCATAGATCTGGAAACATAATAATCCGACTCCAAAGATTTTATTTCGTCAAGCACTGGGGTTACGTACTCAAAGAGATCACTGAGTACTCTACTAGCTACAGGAGAGAACATATTCTTAAGTCAGGAAGCTGTTCAAGGAGAGTTTTGATTCAACCACTTGGGAGTTAATCATCAAGCGAACCTTACCCTGGAAGTCTATTTATGTGAATAAGAGGTATCCGGATGTCAAGGAATCCTGAGACCCTCTCTTGACTACTAAAAGACTCGGCGGATGAAGGCTTGTTAACGGCTTGTGAATCACATTATACTATTGTATGCGTAGATCCTTGGGCTCTTAAGATACTTCGGGTACTGCTCAGGACACTGCCTATCATGAATTCTTGGGTGGATATATCTAGGAACCTACAGATCCTCCATTGCCTATAACCATTGTCAGTAGATAAGTGACGCACATTGAAAGGAATCTATTATCCCACCTTCACTGTTATGCAGTAATCATGAGCGTATGAAGAAGTTCAGTTCGCTTCAAGTGCTACAATTTGTTCATTTTTTGACTCCGCCAGTCAGTCTAGGGCCTTGGGTCCGTTGGCTATCCGCCGTACCCTGTTGGCCATATCTTGGTGGTGTGCGTACGCAACAGAGCCTTTCAGCTGCTCCTAACGCCTTACATCCTGATTGACTGACTGGTTGGCTTCTAAGTGCTCCTTTGGTGCCGTCTTTGGCTGATTTCGGTTGGTGAAGAGCGGTGTTGACCTTCTTTTGACCCCGTGGAAAGGGTACCCAGCAGCGGTGAATCGCATCGCCGTAGAATGCATACAGGGTTTGAAGGAGACGGCGAGGTCTCCAGCCGGCTTATCTCCTGAAGACTGTCGAGGAGGGGCTGATGATTTTGGACGAGTCTTCATGCCCAGAAGGGCGCAGATCTGGCAGTGAACGGTAATTGGAGGGATCTGCCTCTATCGGGTCAGGGGTGAGCTCACGTGGTGGGGGAGGAGTGGTAAGACGCTCAACCAACATTGGCTCTGGCTTCACGGAGCGTGCGTGCTAAATCTGTTGAGACTCGAGTTCCATAGGTCGTAGTATGAATGTCGTGAAGTCGTCGAACTCCAGAAGTTGTGATCGTTAGAGAATCGAAGGTACACGAGAGTTCAAGTTACGATTTGATTGATAAAGTTTTGTGAAGCAATGGAGAACTAATTCAGTAAAAAAAAACATGATACTCTGGTCAACCTCGTGAGAATAGAAAGATGAAGTTAGACTTACTATGAGGGAGTTGTTAAACTCTATGCTAAAAAAGAAAAAGATTTGAGAGTCTACTTCGTGAAGAGTCAAAGTCGTTTAAGACATCATGCGCCGTGACAACTAGCGTTTGCTCCACTCCAAGTCTCAGACCTTCCATCGCGACATCACGAGTAGATCGGGATTCGCTAAGATAAGGAAACATGATAGGACAGACTATTACACTACTGGCAGCGTGTTGAATCCAGAATGGAGCTAAGAATAAGGATTGTTTTTGGCTCGATAGGTGTCTATTTGTAAATATATTCTGTAACGTACCCAGTAGTTTCCCGGCTTCGGAGAGGGATACGGCTTGGAAGTTTCTCCCCTCTGTCTTCTAATATAGTACTTAGGCTCCTCCGTCTCCACTCACCTACTCGGTTTGACACATCGTTATATCATGCGCCTAAGTGCCTAGATAATCAGCAAAAGGCTCTAGAAACGTGACACATGGTATGGTCATACGAAGTAAGACATCTCAAGTAGACCAGGGGAGACTAATACTTGTTGTTCATCCCTGTTTATCGTGGACGGAATGTTGAGGTGGATCCGTTGCGGAGGCCCTTATGCATTGGAAGATCTCCGAATTTGTCATGTTATTTTCCACTACTTGTGGTTCACAGTTCGCTTGATTCTATCCCAATCATCATGTTCGCGTTCTTTATATACTCGGCCAGGATCTATAGATGGTACTATTGGTAGTTCATGCAATGAAATGACCACAATGTAGTATGCCGCTCTAAGTACATTATTACAGCTGCCTTCACTCTTACGTCTCGAAACTTATGTATTAATCGTCTGAAGGCTATTGGAAGGTCTGTAAGATCCGATGCTAGCGATTATCGACGAACTAGGTACCATAATCGGCTTGTAAACTTTGTGCATCCTGACACGACGAAGGCTACAAGCGTTGAAACTTGAGAGAAGAAATAAGGGTTCTTGAGAGGAAGATGTTCGAGAGAAAATCAGACGGTTAAGCAAGGCTACTAACTTCACTTAATCTTTTAGTAATAGATGGTGTCAAGGTCCTAAAGGTACAAATCATACAGTAGAGGGCATATCTCTCCATCCGTATATCAATTTTTCAGCGCGATTCTTGGCACGGGTCGCGCGCGTAACATAACTCCCTTTCTTATATTCTTAAACTTTATATCTTCTTTAATCCGATATCTCTGGAACTAGAATTCTAGAAAGTTCTTTAGTTGTATCTAAATATACTTTAACATAGACTCTTACGCTTTATATAAGAAAATAAGAAAATATAAGTAGATAGAAATATTATTCTAAGAGAATATATATTAATAGATGTTATAGAGAAGAGAAGAAGAAAGATATCTTATTTAAGACTCTTTAGACTTTGAATTTATATAATAAGTATTCTTAAGATATAGATATAACTATATTAGACTTTTTAAGTATCTTCTATTTATAAAATATTAAAGAAAATATAAGTTTTAAATATACAAGGAAAAGTATATTTACGCACGTGACGTGTACCAAGAGTGGCGTTTAAAAAGTTATCTAGATTGATAAATAGACGCTCACGGTAGATAGCGCACCTCTACCGGAGATCTACGCCGGCGGCCGCATACGGTTCACAGTCCATGTAGCTAGCTCTTAGAGACCATTGACAAATTTTCAGGTCATCTCATTACCATGACTTATGAGCACGCCCTGACCATCCTACGATGCATTGTTCTTGGAAATCAAATCGAAATAGAACTGTGAGTGGGCATACCTCGAATCCATAGCACCCTCCAAATGCTAATAAAACAGAGTACCATCTTCCATGTCCATCATCACTATGAATGTCCTTGTGTCTTATTACTTACAAGATGAATGGTACATAGAAGCTCAAATAGTCGAAATAAGAATGCATAATACGATTGCTACCAACGAATAAAGCGCAAATGCAAGAATCAGCCGATAAGAATTCGGGATTTTCGAATGAGTGATACCCTCTGGTGATCCTCGTCAAACAATTTTTAAAGCCGTATAAGTGATGTCCATTTCCAGCAATAACGCATTCGATGATCAACCGGATGCAACATGATTCGGAACGGTCGAGACATATCCTCGGGTAAGTGTCACACATTGATAATTAAATTCAAGGTTTGATATGTCACCACAACATAATAGAACGCGTCACGGCCTTCATCTTTGGGTATCCTTGATCTCATGAAACCCATATCACCAAAAAACATCTTACCAAACGCCTATAGCGGTTTGTACCTTTACGTGCAAGATGACATACAAGCTAGATATACCTAGATCAAAAGAGCTAGAGTTAATATAGCCGATGCATAAAACAAGCACGAACTCCTACTATACATGCACTAGTCGCCTATCTTTTCCCTAACCAAGCTTGAATAGATGTACTCGACAGGGCATGAACCAGTCCTGATAAGACACCAAACCAGTATATGACTGACTTCGAGATCAACATAGCACTAGCGTACTACATGAAGGCCTCCAAGACTAGTATGATATACTCAACTACGCTAACGCAATGAGATGGAGAGGCATCAGAGGAGCCATCGGCAGTGGACCACTAGTAAGACTGGAAAAATCGTCAAATACATCCTTGAATGGCACTGCTTGAACCACAGCATACCTAATTACTGTTAATCAGACTTCCTATCAATCAGTTCAGTTCAACTTTGGGCCTCTAGTTAAACTAGATTAAAGTACTTCAATCCTAGCCGTCGTAGAATTAGATTAAACTATTAATTCTAGTAGTAGAATTAAAGTTAAACTAGACTAGACTAAAGTATATCCGTAGAAGTAGCTAAAAGTCTTAAAAATAGATATAATTTACTCGATTTTCGCCCATTTAAGTTAATATATTAAATTTTACCACGTCTACGTCCATATATCTATATAGTCTATCTCTATATTAGCTAAATCGTTTAAATCCGTAGAGAAACTCACGAGTATACTTTTACATTAGCCTTACGTAAGTATACCGTCCGTGATAAGGTTATATACATGCTCGATTTTTGCCTATTTAAGTTAATATATTAAATTTTACTATATCCACGTCCGTATATCTATATAGTCTATCTCTATATTAGCTAAATCGTTCGAATCCGTAGAGAAACTTACGAGTATACTTTTACGTTAGCCTTACGTAATCTTCTAGTCCGTAATAAGGTTATATCTCTACTAACTCTTAAGATTCTATAGTTATCTAATTAGGATCGGGCTTATCTTACTTCTTCTTAGTATAATTATATCTCTAGCCTTACTAAACGTTCGCTCGTCGTTATAGATTAAGGCTAGTATAGATAGAATATCGATTACTATCTTATAAAGCTATAGAAACTATAATTTCCGATCTAACCACCACTTAATAGGGTTATTATAGTTAAACTTACTATCGAGTCGACGATAGCGGCTAAGTTTATCCTCCTCTTATCTTCTTTAGCTAATTAACTTTATTTTATTTAGGTATTCGCCTATTAGAGAGCTCGAGAGAGGTATTTTTAGAGATTATATATAAGGTAGAGGTATATATAACGGTAAGG